GCGCACCCCAGAAATCAGAAAACCAAGTGTCCGACATATGCACTGGTCTTCCCAGTTTCCCAGTTTCTGGGGCTCCTGCATGCACACACGCATTCCAGTTTGGGCACTCGGGGTCGAAGAGGTTCGCCATTACTGTGATATGATATCAGAAGTGAAATAAATATAGGACACGGGTGCTCTCTCTCTCCTATTGTCTAGTTCCATTCTTAGATTTTGCTATGTTCATCATCATTTGATATCATCACAATGATATCATATATCATTTCCTACTTTAAGGAAAATTCTTCATCATCAAGCAGCAAAGTAGTATTTTGGGAAAAGGCAATGGACAACATTCATTCAGCTTCTAACATGAACCTAGCTAAAGCCCTGTAATGAGAAGATTCAATCTTCAAATCCAACTTCACTATTAGAGTTCATTTCCAAAGCATGTGATTAGAGTATAAATTATCTTACTTGTTCCTGATTTATGGGTACCACAAAATTATTTTTTCAGCAGCATTATTACCATGGCATGTTCTCATTTTTCCTGATATTTTTTATTCGTTTGATTTTTGTACTGTGACTCAATCAACAGAGTATTATGCTTGACTTAACACTGCCACTAAATGTTTTTCTTATTATCGTCTAGTTCTTTGCTTTGACTACCAAATTATGTTATTATTAGCAGTTTGTTTGCAAGCAATATTCTCATAACATACAGTCACTGCTTTCCTAATAATTTATTGCCTGTAACTAAGAAGGCATCAAATGGAGAATAGCAGTGTGACCCAGGCATCAAATTACTAAGTCATTGCATGGTATTGTAATTTTGGTACAAATAATATGATTGTAACTTCTCCCAGCCTCTAAAACAAATGTGTAAGGATATATAAATAAATACAACAATAGCCATAAGAATCAACTCTAAGTGCTACAATTGCAGACCAACAAAATAAGTATTTTGCAGTTACTTTAGACATCTATAATTCGCCACTGCTTTACGGTTCCAAGCAGCTGTTTCATTTGAAAATTCCTATTTAATTGCCAAGCAAAACACCTTTTTGTGTGAAAAAAGTGAAACAATTATTACCAAAAATTGGCTCTGGAGTAGTGTTCCATGTAGAGTTGTTCATCGGAAAAAGGAGCCAAATGAATGTCACTAAATGTTGGAAACATCATTCCTGGTGAACAAAAGATAATATACAGTAGCAAAGTTCAAATCTTCTATGTAGTCCTTAAAAATTTAGTGGAAATATCCAAGAGGCATTATTTATCCATCCCATATTTTTGGGGGTAAATTAACAATAGATATTAAATTTAATTCTTGGTCATATTTTAGTAAATCTATTGACAAGAGAATACTTAATATGATAATGCTAATTTACTGTCACAAACTGATAAATAATCCATATTTTAACATATTAACACTTAGACACTTAAATAAAATCCTTAAATTAAAAGCAAGCAAGCATGTATTCCAATTCATCCACCACTATTGGAAAAATGGGATTATATTTCTTAAACTGAAGATTCAAAATATAACTTATAATAAATAATAAGTAATAATAAATATTACTAATCTACCGGCAACTTTTTCAGGAATTTATTGTAGTTAATGTTAGAGATTGTCAGTATTAAAAAATAGAATATTAAGGACTATCAAATGCCCACAAAGCATTTTACAAACTTTATGCCAATTCAATGCAATGTACCACTGAATTATGACATTACAGATTTATACTGCCTATTAGTCATCCTTCACTTAAATAAAAGCTTAACTCAATATTTGGGAATGACCAGATGAAAGCATTTTAATTGTTAAATTGTTTAATAGCTTAACAATATAGAGAACTAGCACATAGAAGAGAGATAGGACATTTAAAAGAAAACATACATCGTTTAAATTAATGAATATTAGCTAGGAAAATAATTGATTCATTTTTGTAGCTTGATGAGAAAAGTAGTTAATGTTACTTTCAAAAAAGTATTGATTATACACTAAAATTCTAAAGTTCTTTAGTCTAAAGAAAATCACTGAACTCAGTTTAATTCAGAATAAGTTGTTTCATTTTAGTAATATTACAATATAAAGGCAACTCTTAAGATTAAATAATATAGAGAGAAATACATCCTTATTGTCCCTCTTTATTTTACAAATGAAGAAAAAATATCATTAGCACATTGCTATTGAAATAGGATTTAAATTTTAGGAATTTAAAGAACCACAGAAAGGACACATTTAAATGGAACAATTGGGCCAATCCAAAAATTCACTTTAAAACATAGATTAAAAGTTGTCGGTTAGAAAAGGCTTGATGAGTGATAAATGTTAAAAGATAACACATAAATATCAATAGTACTTATGAGAATGTGTATTTGTGAATGTATATGAGAAAAAAATAAAACTTTAAAAAAGGCTTGACAAAAAGCAGAAAACCATCCTAAATAGCTTGATTTTCTACACTGTACTCAACCCCTCTGTTCATCATGCATAATTACACTAAATAAATAATTAATAAAATAAAACAAATCCACATATTCTCTAAAGTGATGCTTCATTGATAAAGCTTGCA